GTTTTAATGGCAACTTCTAACTTATATTCTCTCTTGACCAGAGCGAAGGCATGAATAGCTGGAGAAATTTCTCATTCGATATTCCTATCAAAGGTTTCTTCTAGATGGAATGTACCAAATGTATAACTTGAGTTACATGCATGTGTATGTGTATACACGCAAATTTGGGAAACAAACACATGGCCACAGGATTGGAAACAATCAGTGTTCATTCCATTGCCAAAAAAGGGTGACTCCAAGGATTGCTCCAATTACCATGCCATTGCCCTCATCCCTCACAGTAGCAAGATTCTCCTTAAGATCATACAACATCTGGTGTCAACTACCAGATGCTCAAGCTGGCTTCAGAAGGATCATGGCACTCATGACCATATTGCAAAACTATGCTGGATCATGAAAAAATCTCAAGAATATTGAAAGAACTACATCCACTTTACTGACTACAAGAAAGCCTTTGATTGTGTTGATCATGACAAGCTGTGGAGAGCCCTAGAAGACCTAGGGATGCCAACATATTTGGCCAAGTTGGTGCAGTCACCGTACACAAATCAGAAAGTCACTGTGCAAACACCATATGGAGACAGTGATTGGTTCAAGATAGAGAAAGGAGTACAGCAAGGTTGCATTCTTTCACCTTGTTCAACCTGTATGCTGAAGTGATCATGAGGAAGCTGGAACTTGAAGAATCAAAAACTGGAGTAAAGATTGAAGGAAGGAACATCAACAATCTTTGACATGCTGATGACATAACTCTCCTCACAGAAACAAAAAAAGGCCTGAAACGTCTAATCAAAAGGATTAAAGAAGAAAGCGAGAAATTTGGCCTCTTCCTGAACATCAAAAAGGCTAAGTTCATAACCACTGCGAGGAATGGAAATGTCAAAATAACTATTGATGGTGAAGAGATTGAATACATGCAAGAATTCACTTTCCTAGGATTGGAAATTGATCAAAGCAGTGAATGCAGTCCAGAAATAAAGTGTCAAATCGCACTGGTCGCATAGCAATGATGAGCATGAACCAAGTATAGAAACGCAAGGACTTCAGCCTGACAACTAAATGTAGATTAATCCACACTAGGACGTTTCTCATAGCTACCTACGGTTGTGAAAGTTGGATCATGAAGAAACTAGACAAGAAGAGAATCAACTCATTAAAGCTGTGGTGTTGGAGAAGGCTCCTGAGCACTCCTTGATCAGCAAAGACGACAAACAAGCAAGTACTGGAGCATATAAAACCAGACATATTGCTGGAGGGCAAATCACAAAACTCAGCCTTACTTATTTCGGCCATGTCCAAATCCACTTGGAAAAGGCAGATATGCTCAGAATGGTCAGTGATAAAAAGAAATAAGGCCTCCAAAAAACATGGTGGCTAGACATCATCAAAGCAGACACCAGCCAGAGCATAAAAGAATTAAAAGAAGCCATACAAGATCAGAAAATGTGGAGAGAGTTGGTCCACAGAATTGCCAAGAATCAGACACGATTGAATGGATAGCATTATCATCACCCTGTCCATGTATCTTATATGGATAGGGAAAAGCTAGAGGCTTATTCAGCATTCACACAAAACAGCTGTGGAAGTGTCAACACTCTAATAAGTTCACATAAGTTCTAATAAGTTCACATCAACTACCAATGTGAACAATTTCATGGAAATAGCTTTTTATATTTTAGCAAGGTTTCAGTTCTTTCTAAAAATCTGTGTGACTTTACCTACATTATATAGGGAGAATTAAAGTTCTAAGCAGTAATGTCTAGCTTTCTAGGAAGTTGACCTCCTAATGCTTATTTCTTGTTTCTGTTTTTTGAAGAAGGCATACCAACAGCAAGAGAATAATTTCAGTTCTTGAAGAAAAGTTTGGTTGTGTACATTTTTTACCAGAGGCATGTTTAAACAGAATAATATATACTCTACAAGCTGTCGAAAAAAGCCTGAACTAATCAGCTAGCTATGTACAATAATGTTTGCTTTTGCAGTATTTGAAAGAATGCAACACATCTGAGTTGTTCCTGGTGAAAAATGCAACTGGTGGTCAACGCCAAGAAATTTTTAAAACCAACTTTCACTAAGCAATTAAATCGATCAAAATTCTAAGAATAGAAGGAAAGCCAGAGAGAGAAAAGGGGAGCAAATGAGACACCCTTCTAAATGGAACACCGTGATGTAGAAATATTCACTTAAGCTCCATTATTATAGGACCGGCTATTTTGTAAAGGACTGATCTGGCAAAAAACAGCCTCAGCAGCTGCTCATTCACATAGCCTTGCAATTGTGAGAGCTCATTAAGATTCCTTGGAGCAGCTCCCTTTCCTTGCTAGGCTTTGCTATGCCTCATTAGACATTCAGTAACTGGCCCCTTCTTGCAAGCATCAGTCCTAGCCAACATTTATGGTGGGTAAATTAACAAGTCCAGCAACTGCTGCTCTTTTCTGGCCGAGATGTAGCTATTATTTCAAAAATAATTTACCACTAATCACATTTCACTGCCTATAACAACTAAATGATAGCTCTGGTAAACTGAATCAAGTCTGAATGTAGTCAATTTCTTCCTCATGTGCTCCCATCATCAAAGTCTGTCATGGCATAAGGACCCCACACAGCTACAATACCAGCAAAGATATTAGAAAGGGGAACTGAATAAAACTCTCCTATGCTACAGGTGGTTGAAGAACAAAGGCATGTCAAGAGCTGGTGTATCATCATGTATTTCAAGTGACTGCGTTAGGCAATGCAAACACAGATTGAGAGTTAAATGTTTATTTGTGTCAAAAATAGCATCAAACTCATTGCCAGACTTTCACAGTAATCCAGAGCTTCTTAATTTATAAAGCACAAGATACCTTGAATGCCACTAATTAGGTGTCTTCCTGCATCCCAAGGAAAACACGGCAGTCATTTCCAACAAAGCAAACCCTGAATTAGCAGAACTCATTTGTCCTGAAACACAGCCACACTTCAGGACAATACATACCGATGTATTAGAGCCAATGGCTTTGATATGTTAATTGCAACATTATGCTTGACTCCGGATACTTTAAAAAGTTAATTTATGCCAACATTTCCTAAGTCCAGTTTGGGACTTACATATTTTTTTTCAATCTTCAGTAACTATTGGTTTCTATTTATGTAATTTTAAACAAAATAGAAATATTTAAATAACAGTTTATTTCTGGCACAATATGTAAGAGTTTATAACACACATTTAAGAGATTTAGGAGACAATTGTCATGGAAATGAGACTATCATATATCAAAGACAATTCATTAGCCATCTACCTAGACAAATATAGTCTATTGCAATAGGCAGTAGACTGTCTTCCTCATTTCAGCTGCACAACATCATTTTGAAATGGCAGTAAAATTGTTCCATCTTCTTTATAATATGTATGTGATCTACCAAACTTCCATTACCCTTGGAAGAAAGGCCGTTTTATACTGCTATATTGCTGAAACAGATTCAAAACTAGAAATATTTATTGCCTCTGTTTTGAGACATACTCCAATTAATGCAGTCCAGAATACCTACAGGATGTTTGAAGAAGTTTAACAAAGTGACCTTTGCTTATCTTGCCAAATTAAGTCAGAGAATGGCAGCACTGGTTTCAGAGACAATCAGATGTACCTTTAAAAGAGGAGCTAGTACCTATTATAAAGACGATTGTTTCAGCTAAATGACTTAGAACATTTTCTAGCTATTAACAACTTACTTGGGGGGAAGTAGCAAAGTATATGGTGAATGGCTCACTTCCAGAATTATATTTGCAAAAGCCATTTGTCCCAAAGTCTGCTTGAAAACTATGTTAAATGTCCTCAATATTTCTTTAAGAAATGAAGATGTGAAGCTGCGGTATCTTGAAGATCAGTGTTTCTCAACCTCCCAGAGTTGAAGTCCACACCTCTTAAAGTTGTTGAGGTTGAGAAACACTGTTCTAGATATTTCAATAGTTGATACCAAAAGGCAGTCTTTAACTTATTCTCATGATAACTTTCTAAGATAACTGGGCTGAGAGCTAATCCTCCACCAGTTTTTTTTTCAGTAATACATTTTTTTATTTTATAACCAGATTACAAATATAAACAAAAATACAGAAAATAAAGCGTTATCCAATAAGCTTCAGGGCTAATTGAACCTGAATTGCCTTCACCTAGTGCAACACTTTAAATTGCAGGGAAACCAACTAGATTGCTTACAATTCTCCCTACAGGGAAGATTATCCTTTTTCTGCCCACCTGTGATCATACACATGAATCTATTTGATCCCACCTACCAATCTGGAGTATCCTCCCAAGTATAGGGGCAATAACATATCCCACCATGCACACACCCCGTAATTGCAGATATACTGTCTGAGAGCATTTCCTGGCCTTTGCTGGCCTGCTAGGAGCGCTCATGAAGAACAGGATCTTTTCCTTGTCAGGTATATTTTGGTAACATTATGAATTGGCTACTATTTTTGCTCTAGAGGAGAATGTTCTGAAAGACAGGTACAAGTGGAAAATAATTCTGCAATCATCTTTATGACTGAAACTAGTATAGGAACATATTATATAGTTTCTTTCCCAGGAAGTACACACATTGCTTCCAGATGCCTTAATGGGCATGTGCCCAGCATATTGTTTCTTCCATATAAGCCTCTGTGATCATAATTAATAGAATTGGGCCTTTTCTAGTGAGGTCAAAATTATGAAGTTTTTCTTCTCAAGAGAACCTGTTTATAATCATGCTTTTTTAATTTAGCGGTTTAATAATGTTAAATTAATCAAATAAAATAATAAGGAAAATAGTCCAGCAACTCTGTAGAGATAGTTATTGTTCAGTAAGTCCCTTCCATCTCTTTGTGACCATCAGGACTGTCTGTCAACAACAGCTTCATTGAGTTCTTGTAAGTCGAGGATAATTAATGCAATATAAAACTATCAATCAACAAATGATTGGTTAGTTTGTATTTACAGCTTCAATATGGCAGAACTGCATTCCAAATCTGGAGCACCGCATTCCAAACAGCTAACAGTTTTATTTCATTTCCACGTAGCAAATGTCAGGTACAGCAGTTAGTCTAGAAAAATACAATTAAAAAATCTTCTGCAGACCATGTATCCTATAACAAAATCTTCTGAAACCTATTTTACAAATCAATCTACATCATTAAGGTAAAAAGGAATCCTTAAGTTCAGCATTTTCATTACATCCAGACATCCATCTATTCAAATATAAGCTTCTGCTATATATAGATGTTAGAATTTGTAATACATTTATCTAATATAGCTCCTGTATGTATTAAATAACATCAGAGGTTCTGCTTGTAGTGCATTAACCATGTAAAGCAAGCACACTCAGTATTTTTCCAGTACCATTTGCATTAGAATTATTTGCATGCAGATGTTATTAGCATTTAAAAAGTGCACACAGTTTTCCAAGTAACCCATTTTTCTGTGGAAACAGAATATCCACTGGAGGTACACCAAAATACCAGTTACTAATCTACACATTCAAAGTGTAGGACTAGAAAGTATACAACAGTGTATACACATAATAATAAAAAATAAAATACCCAGTTAGGACTTCAGTGTGTATTTACATCTGATTTCACTACCACAAGGTTCATACCAAGAATTCACTACAATATCAAGCTTCAGTTAGATTTACTAAGTATGATTTAATCCCAAATAATATATCCTGAAAAAATGCTGAACCCTCAGGCCCATCACAGACTGTGGCATATCTTCCATTGGTTGTATGTACCAGTTCAGTGTCTGAAGCAATACTAGTATGCGATAAGAAAGCCAGCTAAAATCTGTGCATTAAATCCAGCAATATCAATGGCAACATAAAGCAAAAAGCTTGGTGTTGTGAAGGATTTACACTGGCCACTGTTAGCACTTGTTTAATCTGTCAAATTAATACAGAAACCTGTAAACCAATTACAGGAATTATCTTGCATATTTAATTTGTGAGCATGTACCACAATGATTCACTAAAAAATGCCCACAAAGGTCTTCAAAGTCAGTTGACAGACTTCAACTTCCCCAAAACAAGTGGTGAACCTAATATTACTTTTAAAATCAAGATTAAAATGCTATTCTAGATAATCCTGACAGAAATTAGCTTCTTTCACAAAGGAATCCAGTGTGTAGATCTATATTAAATCTTCAGTTTAAGTGTTACTAAAATTATATAAACTTCGAAATATCCATAGATTTACTGTAAAGAAATTCAATAGCTTCCACAAAACCAGCAAAAATAAATCACGCTCTTCTCCCTCCCTCAAAAGTGCAAAAACATCAAGTTGCTGCTTGGTCCACAAACATACAATATTTAAATGAGATGCTGTTTCTGTCAGGCCCAAGTTGTTGTCCTTCGAAGGCCAATCTGGCTTAATAAATTCAACGTCCAAAGACTGAGTTCAATTCCAGTAGGATTAATTCTACAATCTGGTTTTGATACACTGTGTGAACTGCTATATTACCAGTCTCTTTCTCTGGTTTTAATAAAGTTGGGCCAAAGACTATGGCTATGCTTTGATAGGTCATTCGATTCTTCTCTCCGTTTTCTACAATTCTAAGAAAGATAGGGGAAAAAAAGTATTGAAACTTGTTAAATTCACTTCATGTCATTATCCAAATAACTTACTTAATATCAGCTGGTACATAAATGCTCTAAAACATATGTTCTGACATGTATATGGCTAGCCACTGTGTGTATTTTCCTCAGGGCATAATCCTGGGTCTTAATACTACAGCTTGAACTTGAAAATAGCTCCAATGCTAGGACTACAGGTGTGTAGAATTTTGCATTATGTAAATTCTAGAGTCACAGTTTCTCACTGTTGAGTAATACAATGACATCTATCACAATACTATATTTCATTAATGCTAGTTCCATTTATAATGCTGGTTCTTTTCCCAAATCACACATTTATACTCTATTGGGTTTTTAAAGCTATGTTTATTTTATTTATTTGTTTGTTTATTTATATGTCACATTTATATAGCTGCACATCTCACACAAAGCAACTCTGCTCTGAAATGTTCGCATTCATTTTCTTAAAAAAACAGATTGAGGGGTTTAGGTTGGACAAGGTGCCCTCAAGAGGAAATTAGAAACATTACAGAATTATATTTTTCCATTTGTTTATGTAAATACACACTAAGTTGCATTTCTTTTCCATGCATTTACTTACTTCTTGAGGTGTCTGAACAACATCTGCATCGTATCTTGATTTGGCTTTGGTAACTGTTTAATCAGATCTCTTACAGCATAAACACGTTGCCTAGGCTCTTGTTCTAGACAGAGACAGAAAATACAAGTTCTATGTACAGTGCTGTTTTTCATGGTTTAAGAGTATATTGGGAGGACATTAGCTAATACCCAGTACCATCTAGTGGCTAAAATGAACATTGCTAACAATACTGGGCTATTGCAGCATTAACTACTAAGGGTTCTATAGCATCTAGAAAACCAGTAAGATAAAATGAGCCATAATCCATTTTATTAGGATTAATATATACAACAATCTGGACACTAACCCCCTTCTTCCATCTAGTGGTGGTCTGGTTGTAATTCTAATTATTAGAGTTATATAACTTTATCCCAATAATGCAGATGAAAGAAGTTACAGTTAATAATTGGCTTCCTACTTAAGGAAAAGTGACCATTTAGAACTCCATTTTTAATTTTGATACAGCCTTGCATGCAATGGGGGCTACCATTGTGAATTGCTGTGAAACTCTTAGGATGAGCAGACTGTTGAGGAAATACTTACTAATGGCATTGACAAAATCATTGAAATGACTATAAGTGAATAATGGTTCCGGCAATTCTCTAAAAAACATTTTCAAAGCTCCTGTAATGACATGGATATCTTCCCATTTGCTGTCATTCAAGTCCAGTTTTTCATCTGAAAGAAATAGGAAAAAAACCATTGTCTGGTCTAGCTATGTCATAATAAGCTTTTGTTGCTGTAGTTCATACAAAGGGAAGCATATTCAGCTAAAAAAGCAATTCTAACAACTATCTCATTAGATGTTCCTAACAGTAAAAAATATACAGACTTCTATGTCATACTAAAAATATAATCCGTTAGAACCTATTATGACAAGCCCTTATAAAGCAATCAAGGAACTTAACTGCAAATAAATTTTATGTATAGGAACTTACCATGATTAACTGCGAACCTTAGCTTCTGTATTACTGCAAGATTACCACTGACTCTGTACAATCCATCAACATCCAATCCTAGAACACATTTAATTTTTTGTCAGTAAACATTCCTACAACTTATTAAATCTTATACATGCTATTTTCTGATACTGAAAAGGAAAAGCAAAAACTTTAAAATGAAAATTATAGGTAAAATAAGCAGTTTAAGAAATAGATTATTTCATTAAACTCTGTTCGTATTAACAGAAACATTTCAGCAACATATGAACTTTGTTTCTCAGATCCATCTGGGAGTGTGAATTTTGAAGACCTCAAAAAACTGATGTGAAGCACATCTAGGTTTATTTCCCATTCTTTTCTCTCATGGGATCCTCTGCCATAATTTGGAGAGAATGCTATTTTCACTTGGAACATCTCTCTCCCCAAACACACTATGCTGAGTAAGCATGTACTCTTGAAACTGGGAGACTGGGAGAGACATTCTCACATGTCTGTCATCCAATATGACGACAGAAGAGCCAATCAATGTAATATTCTTTCTTCACTGGATGAGTCAAAGTTCCTTTTCCAGTGGATTAGCTTTGACAGCATTTATCAGAACTGGCAATATAGAAAGTGAGGAAGCACACTGAAAAACAATCCTATAAGAATAATACTAAAGCAAATTATACTAACTAACATTAAAAAACAGAGTGAAATCTTACACACTTATCCTGGAGCCAGAGGAATTCACTTGGTTATATGTTGGACTACACTATCAAATATTAAAACAGAAGAGCAAAACAGCATCATAACTGAAGCATCTAGTGCACCTACTTGACTCAGCACAGCAGCATTTAATTTTTGTTGAATCAAGGATCTAGTATTCATTATGGAGTGGAAACAATTTTACACTGAAAGATGTGATATTCTAACTTTTTAGATAAGTGTTTCTAGCAATTAAGATAAATTTTAAAATTTTCTTTAAAACACTACACCCATATATGTTTCTTGGACATATTTCTTTTGTTAAATAAAATAATCTTTAATCCTAAAAAACCAAGAAGTACTTTCTTCCTACCATGTTCTTCAACATGTTCAATGCACAGCTTCACAAATTTTGGCACTGTGTTGTTTTCTCTTTGACACAAACTGCTCAGATTGCAGCCAAATACCTGATCTGAAGAACAGAAAAATTAAATTTATAGCCTAGTAAGATGAACTTCTTAGAATTATACAGAATAAAAACTGATATATATATGGTCAGTAAGATCATGAACTTGGACATATAAAATTTTAGATATCTCAGTCTTAGCACTGAACTCTCACTGTATTAGATCCAATAAACCCTTAGCAATTTTCTCAGTTCATATTTTATCTCTAAGTCATGACTGAAAAACCTTTGGAGGCTCAAGGAATATATGTGATGGTGGGACAGCTTTCAGAGGACACATCTGCCAATACCCACATGTACTTTTCTATAGAATTTGTTCCTGGAAATGCTATCTGTTATAAACACTGTAAAATTAAAGTTGTCCTGTTTGCTTGTTTGTTTATTTATGGATTTATGGATCATTCTCCTCAATCACATTTTGAGGACAGACAATCCATCCTGGCTCTTTGGTTCACTTCACTTCAGCAGATAGAAACATCTGAATTTAAAGATGTCAAGGGAACAGTGAAGATTTCTCTTTTTTTTACTGCAAAATTTAAAGGATCAATTTTATAGCAGTTTTTGTGTTCTTACAGCACTTAATGATCTACTCTTTTTCAAACAGGCCCTTCTATTATCCTGATGAAAACTAGAAAGTAGATGGATGATCTATAAAACGCCTGAGTTTTGATCAGGTTTGATATTTGCAATATAAAGTTTCCGAAGTCACAGGTAAGGAAACAAGTGGCCCAAAAAACCTAGTTTTGTAGTGTTATTTTACCCCGAATCCTAAAATACAACATTCCTAACTTTCCCCATACCACAAAAATGGTAAAGAACCTAGTTTCTGACAAAAAGTAGATTCCCATACTTTCCAGCAGCTTAATGCTGCATACTGATAGAAAACAATCATAATGTTGTCAATAGTGAGTTGTATTTTTATTGACAAATGTGACATTCTAGATGGCGAAGATTATTTTCTCTAAATCTAATGGAAGCAAGTTAATTGCCTCGTTTGCTCTTTTGGTATATATAATCAGCTTCTAAGAGATATACTGAAATCTGTGATTATATTCAGTCATCTTTATGTTTCTTGCTAGTTGCAGCATGGGTCTGCAATATGAATCTCCAGATTTTAAAAATATAATGCTTTGAAGCCACAATGTCTCTGCCATTTCCTAAGGAAACAGCTATTTCCTTATATCCAAGGAATCAGCATGAAAAACTTATTTTCTAATTTTCTTGATTAACAAACTAAAAAGCCTTACCCTTAATATAGCCCTTTTCACGGACTGCTTGTAACGTAGGTCGGCGGGTCAAAAATTTCTTCAGTTTCGTTTTGGTCTTCTTCTGTTCTGAAGAATCAATGCTGCTGGATATTTTTAGTGCTGAAAGAGAAAAACTAATGTACTACATATAATATTTGACAAGGTTTAAGCTAAATATTTTCTAATTTATAAAATATGTCAATACTGAATTCCTTAGGGAAAAAAAAATAGTATAATCATTCAGAAGATGTTTATGGGAAAGAACTGAAATGCAACCTAAGGATTAACAGAAGTACAGTAGCATGTCTGACCTTTATGTAACCTTTTTTGAATTTCTATTCATATTAACATTTATTTTCTTCAGATAACAATTCAAGCACCATGTAGGCATCTCCCTAGGATGGGTTCCTTGTATAAACATAAAACAGTAAAACACATACATGACACCACTGGGAGAGACCACCCATTGACATGTGGAGAGGAGAGAAGAGGAATCATCAAATGATACACTGCCACATGGCCAATTAGGCAATGAGGTGAAGGTTCTGTCCTGATATCCAGAGACTGTTAGGGTCTGGCTGGGAAGAAACAGCCTTAGGCTGAACCCTAGCAAGATGGAGTGGCTAGAATTCAGAAGCTGACTGATACTGGAGAAAGTCTGTCTCTTACTCTGGATGGGCTAGAGCTTCTGCAGGGAGAGCTGGTTCACTCATGGCTCCTGCTAGAACAGCAGGTAGAGGTTTTAGTTATGAGAGCCTCTACACAATTACATACTCTGTGTCAGTTTTACTGTTCCTGGAATGAGAGACTTTGCTGATGATCATTCATGCCCTTGACATGACAACTCACTCTACATGGGGCTGCCCCTGAGGACCATCTGTAAGTGGCAGCTGGTTTCAAATGCAGCAGTCATTCAAGAAGTTGCTGCATGTCTAGGTTTGCTCATGTGACATTTCTAATATGGGAGCTGCACTGGCTGTCAGTTAACTTTCAGGTTCAACTGAAGATGTTACCTTTCAAGCCCTATATGGCTTAGGGCCTAGGTATCTCCCAGACCACCTCCTCCAGGTGGAATCCACCTGGCCGGTGAGATTGGAAAGAGAAGCAAATAAAGAGTCCCACTTCTGAAAATGTGTGGTCATCAGGGACTCCATGCATGAATCTTCTGAGTGATGGCCACCCCTCTCTAAAGCAACGTTCCCCAGATACAAGGTGAGCAACAGTGGTTCAAACCTGGCTCTTTCAGAGGGCTTTTGATGACAAGATGGAAAGGTGACTTTGTCCCCAAGGATGTAGGCACTATTAATAAATGGGGTGAGTTATGACTGATTATATTACTTTTGGTTTCTGAACTGTTTTAATCTTATTATGGGAAGAGGAACTTGCTTAGACAATTCAGAATAGAGAGGCATAGAATTCTGAATGCATGAATGAGTAAATACAGGGACTAATTATTCTATTTCCCTATATATTTAGTTGTAATATATGTTCTCTCACTGTTCCAACCTAACATACTCTAGCCAAATCCATAAATGTCTTCCACAAGAATGGAATTCAAGACCACCCAGGCAGGATAAGCTCAGCCTCCCCAGATATAATGATTTTGGAATTTTTTTGTTTTTCACTTAAAAACTACGTATTTATTAAAATGACAAACAAAACAGAAATCTAAACCTAAAACAAAATGTTTTGGCTTTTATTTTCTTCAGGTGCTCCAAAATAAAATGTGATAGAGGAAGGGGAGAATGAGTTGGAGCACACTTCAGATTTTGCTAAACTGATGGTGGCCTTGTATCTTCTTTTGGCTCTACTTTTCTATGTTAGCCTTTGGTTACAACCTACAAAGCAATGCAGGAACATAAACAAAAATATCTCAGGTTCTTTGCCATTATGTTGCAAAAACACTGGAGCCAGTAAAAACTCACTTTATACTTCTGTTGAAAAAAGCCTATTTCTAAATGTAGCAATGGCTAACTACATCTTGCCCACTCTGGGCAAAAAAAGGAGCACTGATGTTGGTCTCTACAGTTTCACAGTTAAGAAAGCATTTATTAAGGAAAAAAATCTCATTACATTCACTTTCAAACCTGACAGCATGTGGTGATATTGATACTTCTTGAACTTCTGATTAGCTGAAATAAGCATAGGATGATTGGACAACCTGCAATACTACATTAAGTGTTATTTATCCAATAAAATCTGACCAAAAGAAAGCTCGGATATCTCCTTTACTGCAATAATGGAGAAAATTGATAATATCTAAGTTTTTGATGTTTCCCAGAGATAAAATGTCTTTTCATTGTAATGATGACCCAAAAGCATATGCGCTTACTGTAGAATTGAAACTTACAGCGAAGTTTTTTGGAATCTTTATGGTCCTTTTCTTTGTCTTGTTTTTCCAGCCCAGGAGAATCTGGCATTTCATCATCTAATGCTTCATCAGACTCTACTGTCTATTGTAATTCAACAACAACAACAACAATTAAGTTGTTTTCTTATAACATTATTTTACAAGGCATAATATATGCTTTTATAAAGTGTATTTCTTTAAATATGATTTCAAAGTACAACAACATCACTTAATGAAACTGAGTATATTGATCTTAAAATTGATAACAGCTATTTATATAATCTGAAAGAGTCCTCTTTTTTCTTCCCCCACCTTACCAATATAGATTTTCCAAAATGAATGGCATGTTCATACCTTTCTGCTGGGGATATGCAAAAGTCACCAATTTGACAATGGAATATTCTGGAGAACGCCAGAATGTTCTAAAGTATTCCCCCTCTGGACCATGCTGACCATACCATTACAAGGCCACACTAGAACAGTGTGTTTGGAATCAGCAAGTTGTGTATATTACTTAAAACATCCCCCATGCACAGAAAAAGAAGAAAGAGGGGATAATAACATAAACATGAGATCAGTTTCCACATACTTTGGAAAGGAGTCTATCAGTAACAAGGCCAAGCCACTTACAACTGTATGGCTATGACTTTATAAATGAAATATATGTAGAATTAGTTTCAGTATTGATGGCTTTTTATATCAATTTTTACAATCTTACATTGAACTGGCAATACCAAATCATGAAAATGTCAGGTGGACCCAGGCCAGAGCTAGGTAGTAAGTCAATATAACACCATGAAGTGTCAGCCTTCATGGTGTTATATTTCTACTTCTTTCTGACTAGAAGATGATTACCTGAATTATCCAGCAAGATATAATACATAAATATTATCTACAAAAGCATTTTGCAGTTTCTCAGAAACTGCATGTTTGTTCAGCATCTGGCCTAGGTTTTGGTCTAATGTTATTAGTCTACTGGACTCTTCTCCATTTGTCAGGTGGGAGGGAGAGACTGTTGCTAGCTGCCTGATCTGAGATTTAACACTGGCCCATTCTGGACTAGATTGGGAATTTGTCGGGAAGTGAATGACTGAGGGTTGGGTGCCTAGCCTGGTCCCTTTGGCTACTGACTGATAGGGAGCAGGAGCAACTGGAGAAAGCTGTGTCTTTGAGAGAGGTGTGGAATGGGGCCTGGATGCATCATGGCCTGGAAGGGTGGCGGGAATAAGTGGGGAAGGCTCAAATGGGGAGAGAGGTGAGGACAGGTTCTACAATCAGATTAGTGATGGGCAGGAAAAGATATGACAGGAACCTAAGGGGGGGCTGGTCATAGGATCAGCGGGTTTGATGATTGAGATTGCTCCCAGATGCCAGCCCTCAGTGTTCATCTTTAATGCTAAGTCACTGGATTCTTGGTGGCTTTTGCTATTAAATGCCAAGTTGATGTGTAATAAATCTATTCTCATCTATAACTTGACTGTGGAAGAGTCAACTGACTTGATCAGTATAGCCAAGGCCTATGTGGGCCATGGGGAGAAGTCCCCCTCTCTGAGATGTGCTTGCCTGGGTTTCATGTTTGGCATCAACCATGATGATGAGAGCCATGAGAGCCAGTTTGGTGTAGTGGTTAAGGTGCTGGCCTAGGAACTAAGAGACTGTGAGTTTAGGTCTCTCTTAGGCATAAAAGCCATCTGGGTGACTTTGGGCCAGGCACTCTCTCTGTGCCCAACCTACCTCACAGGGTTGTTGCTGTGGGGAAAATAGGAGGCAGGTAAGTATATTCGTCACCTTAAGTTGACCAAAATATATAAAAGGCAGGATAAGATGATGATGATGATGATGATGATGATGATGATGATGATGATGATGATGATGATGATGATGTGAGACCTTGTGGTTGAAGATGGGATTTGAGGAGTAGGTGGGTTTGTTGCTATTATACTAGCCTCCTTGCTATGTAGTAACGTTCCTGCTTAAGCTGCCTGATTCCATTGTTGTGTTAGTGGTTGATTCCCCAAGGCTGATGGTCCTTGGAGATTTTAACCCTCCTTTGGGTGGCACTGAGTCTGGGCACCATGAACCTGTCCCAGATCATTAGTGAAGGTTGTGCATTAGACCTGGTTTTTATCTCATTATGCCAACATGACCCCTCTGTTTCATGAGCTGTACTGGTTATCGGTAAGCTTCCAAGAGCAATTCAAGGCACTGGTTATTAATATAAAGCCCTACATTACATTGTGTCTAGCTATTTGAAGGACCATCTGTCTCTCATAGCTTCTGCCCACCAGACAGAGTCAGCTTGCCTCATGTACCGTTAAGTCATGACATCCAGTGGGACTCAAGAAGCAGGCTTTCTCTTTCGCAGCACCTGCCTTCCGGAACAGTGTTCCCCTAGAGATTTCTACAGCTCCCATCCCCAGCTGCTTTCCAGAGAGCCCCAAACCTTGACTCATTCCCTAGGCCTTAGGTTAGGATATCTGGTGCACCTTTTAGACTGGTGATGATGGGACAGGGTATTTTTTATTTGTTCCCTTGACTGTGTTCTTTTTTATATAATTTTTATATAATGCTGTTTTCTTGGTTTTTAATCTTGTGAAGCTACCCAGACAGATCTTGGAATTGAGTGGCCTAAAAATCAGATTAATAAATAAATAAACCTGATGTCATGATGGGGCAGTGTTTCAGCACACAATCAGTTTGGTAAAGATCCATTTCTTGAAGCCACAGTCAGTATTACTGAATAATTAATGTTAACCTAAACATAGTTCTCCATTCTTGTCAATCAAGTATCTTCTAGGATTACAGGAACACTGCACTTTTTCCTCTCAATTCCTTTTCTTAGAAGAGTACTGTTTAATAATCTAAGCCTACAAATTTACTATTTCTAAACAAACAGCAACTATGGAAAGATATTAATGAATTACGAGGCTTCTCCTACCACAGTTTCTTTTCAAACTTAAAAGGCTATATAACAGCTCTGAGTTTAGAAGCACTTAGGGTAAAAGTAAAAAGGAATCATAGGACAATATTCTCAGATACTCTTTAACAGTATCTCCATCCAATCAGCCTTGTCTTTTAAGATGAATCACAGCTAGGACGTTCCAGCAATAAAACAGTCCAGCCTCAAGATACAAACAATATAAACAAATGGGAAACAAATAATCTATCTAAAAAGACACCACCCTTCAACAGCTAAAAGAAACTTGAACAGGTACAAGCACACACCAGAAAGACCTATAAATATGTCTATTACAATTTAATTACAAAGCATATACTCTTACCATTAATTACAAAAGTGATAAAACACCCACAGGTTCCAAAAAACCATACTGAATTGCAGCAGTGCGATTTATTAGCAGAACATGCAATACTGTTAAAATTCCACAGGGTATTTTCTAAGGGTATGGGGGTTGCAATGTAGGAAATGGCTATAATTTGCCTCCTTGGTATTTACTGCTACAAGAAATGTATCTATTAGTATGTACAGCCATCCTCTTTCATAAATTTGATAATTTCATCAGATTTGTTAGGAAAAGTATCTCATGTTCTAGAACATGAATATGAGAAGTTGACTTATCCTGCTTAGACCCTGGTTCATCTAGTTCAGTATTAGGTCAGCTAGCTGCAGCTGTCCAGGGATTTAGGCTGTTGTTTACAATTCTACAGAGATAGGTAAGGTTAAATCTAGGATTTTCTACTTGCAAAGCAATGAACTTTCCTTCAATTTAGAAACACTGGTGAGCTTTCTAGAGAAGGAGCAGTAGAGTCCGTGGAGGATGACTTTTGTGGTAAGGATGTGGAGAAGCGGATACACTTGGTCAGAGCTGGGAGCTCATTTTCACACTGTTATTCAGCTAATTTTTTAATCAGCTAACATAATACAACTTTTGCATTACCTGAATTTCATACTATCCCAATTCTCTTGGTACTGGATGTTTCTTCCTAGAGCAATAGATTTTATGCCTGTTAGCATATTTAATTTACAAAGGTCTGGTAGCATCAGAGAACAGGCCTACCATTTCTAATAATTCAGTGACTTAACAGTCTGGACAGCAGGTCTACCAAAATAGATAGGGTTGACCATGCAAATTAATATACTAGATCAAACCCTTTTGTTTAACTAGGTAAAACTGGGATCTATCCACATCTAAAATCCTAAGGATGAAATCCAAAGAAGCAATTCAAACCCTAAAGGAGTGTTCAGTATCAATCATGAAGCCAAATGCTTGACTGCCATGTTCAAGAAAATGGCATGATATAAATGTAGTGAGTAAATATATTTATGGGCTTCATCAACTATATAAAACCAAACGGTCTAGCTTGCAGTTCACCCTTTAATTTTATTCTCTAACATACAAGATGCTAGCTATCTTCACAATAGAATTCTTTACAACACTAGTTTCTGAGCAACCTGCTCGAAGACAGAAAGAAACGCCCCAACCAGGAGCTAAGAGAAAAAAATGTGCAGCTTTACTTAACATCCTACAATACATATACTTGACATCTTTCCTCTCTTTAATGAATTGCAATCAACTTCAGCCTCCCCTTCTCCCCACTGTATTTCCCTAAATAATAATAATATTTTTTAAAGCCCTATTTAACACTCCAGGGGACTAGACATCAAAGTCTGGACCACTCTGAAAGCTTATTTTACAGCATTCCCACATCCCTTATCCACTGCATAATTCTCGATTACTTTGAAAGGCTGGCATAACTCACAGCCTTTTAGCCTCTTTCTCACATGTGTAACGTGGCAGAATAATTTCTTTAAACATTTACAAACAGAGAAAAGTCACCATTTTATAAAGAATTGAGTTAGAAATATAGTCTCCTCCTTCCTTTTGTTATGAAGTAGACAAACCATTGCCCAATTACAGCTATGTTAAAAGCTTGAATTTCTGAATTTTGTATTAGGAGGCAGAAATTCCTTCGCATTACAAAAAACGTAAAACAATACTTGAGACACAGTGCATGAAAATCATTGTTAGAACCATTCAATTATTGGCTAATATCACTGAATAACAGGAAGAGGCTTCTCTTACAAAATGGACAGAATAATGGCTACGTGCTTTGATTTATATCTTTTACTTCCAGAAGCACTGGAAACCAGACAGTTTTTAAATGAAAATCGGGAATCTGAAGACTACCATGACTTTCCTTTGGAATATTTATCTGTGAAGGCTGGCATTGGGCCTAAAGGAAGTCTTTAAGACCTGTCTGCAATTTTATTAGTAAAGTAGTTATTGAGAATGAATTGACAGTTCTCAGTTCAAATCTCAGATAAATTATGAACACACTGATACATCTTCAAGTATCTATACAAAAGCTATAATATATAGTATGGATAATAATGGCTCATAAGATATGACTATTTTAAGAAGTCACCTAAATCATATACATGAAATTTTCTAAAGGCACAGATATTTTATGTCTTTCTATAGAGATGGCATTCATAAAATATTAAGTGCCTTTAATATTAAGACAATGACCAGCAGCAAGGTAAATGGACTCATTTACAATGGTGATAGGTACACAGCTGGAAGACCTGAAGGGCCAAGTTGGGGCAGTGTCCTGGGGAAAAATTATCTATGTGGTTGCCAAGAGTCGACTCTGAGTTGATGGCAATATAATTAATATTATCAGTCAATATAATTTAAGGTTTCTTTCAACCCTTTTTAAAGTTCAAGACCTTTATTTTCCTTGATTCCATAGGCAAAAATGAAATGAAATTGTAGAAGAACAAAAGGCCAATAAATAAGCCACACAAAATAAATGATTCCAAACCTAACAAACTCATCTTGGCCCATAAATGACTTGGCTATTAAAGGAGGGAGCCCATCAATGAAAGCCTACACTGCTACCAGACAAAAGAAGGCCAGGAATCACAGGATCAAAAAGAGCATTTTTAGGCCTTTCCAGAAAGGACAATCTTGAATAACTGCCCTTCCAACATCATATAACAAACAGAAGCAAATATCAATAAATTTTCAATGCTTTCTGCATAGTATAGTAGAGGTCAGTCCACTTCTTCTAGTGAACCATTTATTACGATTGTTTGCTCTGGCCCTAATTCTCATCTACCAAAAAGTTAACATCTGCACAGCATTTCAATCCTTCTCAAAGAGCTAGAAACTGTTTGCTCCTAATTCTTCCTCCATCATTCAGTTACCTTGGTAAAAACATTCCAAATAAAGCCAATACAATGTAAATACAGCTGTTCCATAGGATTTATTTGGATTTTGAATTTACTTTTTCTAAATACATATTACACTTGGTTTTAGCTAAACCATATTGGACACCCCTGACACATAATGCATATATTTATTCAAAATGGGTGTAATCGTCATTTACCATTCATAAAAACATCTCACCATTTTCCCATTTGAACATTCAAGAGCACAGGTTGATTCAGTTCTCTATTCTGGTTCAAGATAATGCTTTACATTGATTCAAATATTAGACAGACCATAATTCTGGATGAAAAAAGGTTTACACTTACCTGATTATTTATAGCATAATTGAGAACTTTAAACCATTCCATAATAGAAATGTCATTATCTGACTGAATTAACAGTTCACTTCCTTGGCGTGTTTTCAGCTTTAAAATAAAAGAAATCATGACATTAGAATCAGAGTTCATATTTTATGTGTTCCCAAAAATATATTGTTACCACGAAAACAAAGCATATATTCTGAAATAATCCCAACTTGCTTTTTGCCTCTATACATTCTTCTACAATTTACAACAATAAATGACTGGCTCAGTATTTCTTTTTCCTACTAAGTTTACCTCAATAACATTTTTCTTGCTAGATTTCTCCTTTAAAGCCCAGTCAACAGATGCACCTTTGAGATCCACTGTGAACTCTGGTTTAGACTGATTGACCCCAAACTTCTGAAATAACAACAAAAAAGCATTGGTGAAAAAAAAAATGAGGACATACACATAAGCATTATTAGAAAAGGCTCTTGCTCAATATAATCATAAGACTGTTTCGTGATTATAAAATATATAGGATATTGCCATTACTTAAAATAACTTGTTTGCAGGGTTTCAGATTATAATGTGAGTGCACTGTTCTCCTCCTCTTCCTCCTCCCCCCATTCCTTCATTTTTCTTAAGAGCTATGATATGCTCATATGACTAGAAGAACAGTATTTTTGCTCATTTCACAGAAAGTAGTAATCTTGATGCCACTGAAACATCTCTGGACAGTCAGAGATATCAAAAGGTAGGAATCAAGATTTCTGGAAAAGATGTCAGTAATTGGATAGATTCATAGAGGTATGATTTACTGCTAAATCCAGAGGAAAACTGCAGCCTCCTTAAAAACAAAAGCTTTTGAAATATACAGCATTGCCACAATGATAAGCAGAACCAGAAATGAGTTTATTTATAGAAGAGAATGAGTTTATTTATACTAAGACTTGTTAAATATATTGAAAGTGTCAGTGATTAAGGAGGCCTAACTGTAATCAATGACTGTGCTGACATTTTAAATTAAATCATATTTATTATAGTGATTTTGGATATACAATTGAAAGTGGGCAAGGAAGCTGGCTAGGAAGCAGGTTAAATCAAAAACTCCATCATACATGCTTTCAAAAGAAGCATGCCTTTACCTATAAAAAAGGAAATCTTGTACTACCAGCATTAATCAGAACAAGAGTACAGGAAACATTATAAGCTTATCACATTATCTTGTTAAAATTCTTGCATCAGATAGAAAAACTCTGTAACACCGCCTAATGATTCAGTATCAAATGTGAGAGCCCAAAGTCCTAGACAAAGGACTTATTTTTTATTTTGCCTTAATTGACTTCGGGAAGTTGGATACTTATCATGACTTAAGACACTCATTAAGCCACATCTTGAGTTCCTTTGGTTTAAAGTACAACTTGCTAATTTGAACAGAAAAATAGCTTCTCCATTAATGAGACAATTTATGTTCAATTAGCATCTAAATTGATAAAGAGAGATTGCAAATTTTTTTTTAATCCATAAGAGTCACTTCTTCATTAATGCAGTTTATCCCAACCCATGTAACTCACATAACGTAGCTATGATTGTACTAACAGCCTGAAGGAGAAAAAATGATTTGCATAATGCATTTTTGGAAAACTGACAATCTTTTAGTACTTACCCAACCAGTCCCACTTCCTTGAGTCTTGGTAAACAATAACGAGGAACCCTGCAATACTGCCCAGGATGACATCCAATTCTTTCTGTAGAGGAGGTAGATATTTGTACATAGTCAAGAATGCAATGCCAAAATTAGCCAATGATAACTCAGCAAACAGTATTGTTGTGTTTATTGGCATGCTTGTTACTGACAAGGTAGACACTTGTTCAAATCGCAGGAATAAGGTTACATAAAAACAATAGTTTATGTATTTATTAGACAAACTCATCACAGGAGTTCTTACAGAATATATTAGGTATATTTGTAGTATTACTTTCACACATATTAAAATATTCAGTCTACAGTCTGAACAGGTATAAAAAAACTGCTCAATATCTATGAATTTCACCACAATGAAAATATGTTGTGATAAGACTAATGGAGGGGGGGATCCAATGAAAATTAAGCTAATAATGCATTTAAGATTTGAGAGTTAAATTTAAACTCTTCTGCTAATCATGTTTCTTAGGATAATTCAGATTGTAACATTTTGATCAACTCTCTAATTTCCACTGGAATCAATGGGATTTGCTTTGATAAAGATGTATTAATAATCTTCTATCACAGTGACTATTTCATACATTAGTATAATACTTGACAAAATCAAAACTGTAACTTGAAAGGACTTGAGTTCATATTAAACATTTAATATGTATTCTGAAATGGATTAGTAAATTTATGTTAATTTTTACTCAACAATTTTTTTTGATACTAAAAAAAATTAGGATTTCAAAACTTATAAACCCTATGGTAGTACTTGCCGGACTTTCTTCCCATTTTCTGTAATTTTAGTTACATTTAACAATCCATACTTCTCTTGGTCCTGGAGAAGAGAAGAAAAAGAATTTTAATAAAGATTTCTGTTTCCTTAAAGAGGAAATGAGTTATTTCATTTTATACATACTCCCAGAAGAGAAAAACAATGGAGACTCAAGTTGCAGATATAACTCTCTGAATTTTATATAATTTTACAATCCCAATATAAACCTATTTAAAAACATATTCCATAATGTTCACTGGGGATCACTCACACGTAAATAAATACAATATAGGCTTGCTTTTGGGCAGAGCAATCCTAGTTCATTCCTAGTAGTATAATCTGAAAAAAGTACTGCTAGAGAGAAAGGCCCTTGTTTTCAGACTCGTGTGATTACTGCAAGCAACAGACCCTCTTAAGTATACCATCTTTAAACTACGTAGGAAGGTTTTTTCCCCATTAATTTCAAGGGGGGATCAGCTTTGGGTTTTTGATATTCCAGTTGAAAATAAAAGAAACTCAATGCCCAGCAGACATGCAGCTCTATTAAAAGAGGCTATGGAACCACATGAGCTCCAGCTTTCCTAACCCCTAGTTATGCCCTCAAACAAACTGCCAATCTGGGAAGGCACATGGTTGGCACAGATTAATTCCCAACTACTGATTTCAATGCAGGCACAGAAAGCAGGCACAGATTTGAAAGTCTCAGACTCTTAACAAGAATTAGGAGGCATATTCTGTTAAAATTAATCCTGAGAAATTTAATAATTTATAACATATATTAACAAACTTATCCCAATGTGCTGACATATATACAATTTACACACACACATAGAGGTAAACAGTCTCGAACATTTGTAATTTGTACTGACTGTGGTTTGATGCTTTGGTGAGGAAGGAGAGGATTCATTTTCAGGAAATGCAATCTTTGCAGGCAATGGAGAATCCTAGAAAAGAGAAATGCATTTAAATGTTTATATAAGAGAAATAAAACAAGCTCAACGTTCATGGATTTTTAATGGGATGGAAAAGATGGGCATACTGAAACAGTGGAATGTAAACTTAATACTAAGATTTTTACTCTGATTAACTTTTTTCTATAATTTATTTTTGGGAGAGCTCAGTTTTAATTAACTACTAAAATGGTCTATAAATAAATCATGTTTCATATACTAACTTGCTCCTGATGTGTTGGGAACAAATATGCAGGATTAGGCAAGAGGAGTTCAGAAGAATTAGTTGGCAACTGTAAAAATACAAGAACTAGTTTCAGAGGCTATATTACCAGGAACGTTTATTGTAATTTATGTTTCAGTCTTAAAGTAATAAAAAAAAATGGCTTGCATCCTTTACAGAATAGAGTTGAACTTTTAAAATTAAGCATGATTTAAATGCTCTAGGACTGTGCAGTGCTTTGGGTACAATCTCAAAAAATTGCTTCAGAGCACAAGGGAGCCTGAACCCAGCACCTGTATGGGACACCTTTAAGCAGCCACCCCCTTTCCCAGGATGGAACTGTAATCCTGGGAAAAGAAACAGCTGCTTTAAGGTGTTGCAGACAGGTACTATGTCACACTCACCTGTACTCCAAAACACCTTTTTAAGATTGCACCTGAAGCACTGCTATGTTTGCACTCCAAACCACTTTTACGTATTGGAACTGAAGTGCTGCGTAGCCCTAGCATTCCAATCCTCACAAGCTTATTGATGACAATCAATAAAAGGCAGAATATAATTACAAATAAATACTGTTGCATCTTTTAATTATTACATTTATAACCTGTCTTTCCTCTAAGAAACTCAGAGGGATGCACATGAAACCTCTCTTAATTTTCATTGTCACAACTACCCTATGAAATAGGTTGGGCTGGACAACAACCTACTTCATAGGGTAGTTGTGACAGATATGAAGTCACCCAGTGACTTTCTTGGTTCATTAAAGGCCTGAACCCAGTCCGCACTTAAAACCACCAACAACCATTGTGATATTCTGGTTATGTTCTTGCTTCCATTGCTACTGCTTGAATTCTTGGTGTTCTTTAACTGCTTGTTATTATTTAACTCTTTATTTTATCTACTGTACCCTGTTACCGTTTTTTGATTAGGATGCATTTTAACATTTTAAAAACCATTCCTCTAATACCTATTGATTTCAGAGAGATAAAGTAAAAAAGCAGCCATTGGGGATCCATTTGAGGTAAGGCCACAATTCTAAACTCTGAAAACTAAGGTCTTAATTCACATATATTCTCAACAATAGGCTTTTAAAAATTTTATTTGGAGAAAGCAAATACAACTTTTCAGAGACAGATATTTTAATTAGCAAGTTCTATCTTTGAATATAATGCAAATTATTTCACAAACGTAGAAAAGAAAATGATAGTTGAAATAAAGAGATTATATTGCATGAAAGTATATGGCATTAGTCTTTATGGAAATCAGTGTGGTTATGTAGTAAGTAGAAGTCCAAATTGTTATTTAAAATATACCTACCTTGTCATTTGTGTCCAACACAACGGAGCTGTGCCTCCATTTTGTCAAAACTATTGGTTCCTGAAGTCGCCTGTCCAAACTTCTGCTTTTAATTATTTCTTTTTGCTGTTGTGGTGAAGCATTATACTAATGAAAATAAAACCCACATGTTGTAAATCTGTACTGATAACAAAACATAACATACGTATAATCCACTAGGAAGTATTTTCAGTAGTATCTACTGCTAACTTCAAGCAGAGTATCTATATACTCCTCTCCTGAAGAGCTGAAAAAATGTCTAGTAACTTGGAACTCTGCTACATGCTATAATATTTTAGTCTTAAAATGGCTCTATAAATGAATCCAACAATTCTGTGGGACACCTAAAATTAATATTTTTGTCACTCACTGTCCATGTCAAGCCTTTGCCATCTAACTACCTGATTATGCAAGAGTGACATTTACAATACTGTCCAGCCAAAAAGAAATATTAATTCAGTCTATACAATATCTTACTTACTCTGTTATCCATGCCCCAAGAAACTTTTACTGGGGGGAAACAAGAGGCCAATTATACAGAGACGTGCACTGAGTGGCTAGTTCCAAAAGGATATTTTCAGTCAAAATGAAGAACTGCCATTTCTTTTTCATAACCTATGTTGCTTTGCATTTTGAGAATTCCCCAAGTATCAGTTGTTTTATAATTTGCACTCCCTCCTTAAGTTCACAATAATAGGAAAACATGGAACCAGCAGCAAAAATAAGTACAGGAAGTCCTCACAACTGCAATTGGGACTGGTAACTCCATCGCTAAGTGATGTGATCATAAATTAAAACATCAACTGACTGCACTGACTTACATCAGTTCTGGCTGTGGTTGTTAAGTGAATCACCCATGGTCATTAAGCACAATGTCACATGACCACAACCTGAGACTTCCTGACAGCTTCCCCATGGACTTTGCTTGTTGGGAGCCGGCTGTGAAGGTCACAAATAGTGATCATGTGACTGCAGGATGCTGCGACCATCTTAAATGTGTGCCATTTGCCAAGCATCTGAATCATGATCACACGACCATGGGGACACTGTGACGGCTGCAACTTTGAGGACCAGTTGTAAATCTCCTTTTTCAGTACTGTTGTAACTTCAAATGGTCACTGAACAAGCAGTCAGTAAGCAAGGACTACCTGTAGTATGATATGCTCTTCTTTCAGCCAACCAATTATGTGCTTTGTAGGAGACTGCCTTCCATTTGCATACCCTGATTTCTGCATTCTTCCACCTACCCAGAATCACCATACTATAAAAGACTTCACTGTACTGGTTTTAGCAAGTACCTCCCATTTTTTCCCCTTAAGTATTTTACTTGTTGAAGTTACTCTGAACATAACACCTATTTTCAGTAGCTCCATTTTGACAATACAGCTGTTACTATTCAGCATCTGAGTTTGCTATTAGTATGTACAATAACATAGTATGTTATGCATGTTATGCATAGTATGTTGTGCATATTTTTAGATATGGATATATGGATGTATATGGATGAAGAGAGAGAATTGCTTTTTCATGCAGATATAGCCATCTAGGGTTTATTCTATTCAAAACACTGCTTTTTGAAATTGGAAAAGAACAAAGACACCATTTCTCAACTTTTCTTTGTCAAAGGGGAAGAAGAGGAGGGAGAAGCATTGAAGTCCGTCCAAGGCTTGCCCCAGTTCATATGTATAATAAATCACAGTTTATTTTATTCAAAGAAGGGTCTAATACCCCAAAGGATATTCTACCCTGGAAGACATTTAGGGGGTCCCCCCTAACCAACTGTCTAGACTGAAGAAGCTGCTTGGACAAGCAGCGAAACGTATCTAACCAAAAGAAAAGAAGTCCATGACTCAACCTCTAGATAATTCCACCTGGATGACTGAGAATCTTCATCAACATACTGCACTGAATGAAGTGAAAATATGCAGCACCAAACCCTATTATATCCTAAATTACAGTGCTGTATGGTTTTGTTTTGTTTTTAGATTTTTTATCTTGCCTTTCTTATTTTTATAAATAACTCAAGGCAGTGAACATACATAATACTCCTTCCTCCTCCTATTTTCCCCACAACAACAACCCTGTGAGGTGAGTTGGACTAAT